TTAAAGTGTGTATGAATGAAATGAGATGAATGGAATTATCAATTACGAGAAACATATAGGAAGGTGTGGGGTCCACTTTGGAAAGGTAGGTAGGGTTTCAACATTTGGTAGGAGTGTGTTGGAAAAAAAAGGGTGTGGTTAGAAATTTGTTGTATGTGTATGGTTGACCTTGTTTATCTGTGGTGTGGTTGTATTTATTATCTTGAGATGTGGTAATGGTTTTCTGTGATCATGATTTAGCTTAACAAGAATATTATGATATTGAATCCAACGTGAGGTAGGCAGGTGTTTATGCCCTTAATTATGTTTTTTGTTTATATTTTTTAATTTGAGTTTGTATCTTTTCTCTTATGAAATATTAAAAAGGTGACAATAGAAGAGACGAGTCTCTTCGTCCATGATGAGCGGTAGAAGAGACTAAGATTCAAGTGCTCTCTTTCGAGAGGGTCGAAAGCGATGAATGTCACGCCCATAGGGCTCCAAATTAGGTCATGTATAGTGTCGATGGGAGAAGCATCAAAGTTTTCACTCATAAATCCTTTAGAAGCAAGGAAAATAAGTTCGAAGCTGCGATAACTGCGATAATTGATGACTCCAATCATCCTATTTTGATAAACATGAATGGTACGATGAAGTATATGAAATATGACATATGTTTATAAAAATGGTTGGTACTAACACTAATTGCTCACTCTGTTTTAAGGAAAAGTATGGTTTGTTATGTTTCTCGTTATAGACTTATTAAGTAGTGATGTTGTTGATATGATAGGATTGTAGTATAACAATTGAGATAATAAAGAACTTAATGATGATGCTACATAAGATGGGATCGTTAGGACACACCATTGGATTGCCGTTATGGATGAAAAAAAAAAATAAAGGACACAATGTTTTTATGTTAGTTCATCTTTGTCTGTGTAATTGCGATGAACATATTTTTATACAAAAGAAAATGATAATACAAATACAGATATAGATTCATACAAGAGATGTGTTGAAGTTTTAGTAAATAGAGTTTTTTCTTGGACAATTATATTTATAATCGATTTATTTGATGAATTATATTTTGAATTTTGAGTTTGATTTTGAAATTAAATAAAGATTTTGATATTTTTGTTCATAGTTAAATTTTGATTATAATTTAACAATTTGATAAAATGTTAGTAACATCTTAGATGAGGTGGTAAACAAGGAGGTTTGGCAGTCATTAAATTGCGAATAATTCTTATTTACTAGTTATATTTGATGATTACAAAAAAAATCATCAATTTTTCTTGTAATGAAATATGATAGATAATAATAATTAAATCAATAAGTTTTCTTTTTTGATTAAAAAACAAGCAGGCAGGAATTTATTACTAAAATTATTGAAAGGTACATTTCATTATAAAAAGTTTAATGGCACACCCATTTATTGAAATTTATTAAATAAGCAACATGACATAAGAGAGTTTGAGACTGTAACATATGTCTGCTACAGATGCTATTATCCTTCTAATTTGGATTTGGATCTGGCCTTTGAAGAAAATTCTTAAACCATCGTGCTGAGAGTTTGGCATATCGCTTCAAGTCATCATTTCTGTCAACATAGTTTAGTCCGAATCCAACTAAATAACCATTCTTCCATTCAAAATTGTCCAATAGTGACCACGCAAAATATCCTTTTACGTTTACTCCCTCACTGCTCAATCAAACAAATTTAAATTACACTTCAAATTATTTTTTAAAATATGTTAAAAATAAATTATTACCTCATTGCTGAACGTAGATAATACAAATGACGATAATAGTAATCGATTCTATAAATATCTAGTAGAGCTTCTTCGCGTGTTTGTCCTTCATCATTCACATCATTTCCCCTACCTATCAATTCAAAACAATATATATCAATGTGTTATAAAAGAAATATTTTATCAGACAATATTTCAAAGATGATAAAAATTATACCATTTTCAGTAATGTAAATTAAGGGATTGTTATACTTTTCTTTAACATAGAGCAACAAGTCTTTAAATCCTTTGGGGCATACAAATAACCAATTAGAAGCCGTCTGCAAGTAGAAAAATATGAATATGAAGTTATATAAAACCGAATAAAATAATAATAATAATAATATGAATTTAAAATCTGACAATGATTTTATACACACCGGTGTACCAACTAGAATACCATTGCGTTCAGCTGGCCAATGTAAACAAAAAGAAAATGTTATATTAATTACGAGATTTAACATATATAATATAAATAATTGATAGTTAGATGTTTCCTCACTTAAATAATTGACATTGGCATCTGTCTCATAACTAGGGTTGAGATTGGATGAAGGTTGATCAGCTGCATAATTAGTGGTGTAATAGTTTAACCCTAGAAAATCAAATGAACCAGCCAGAAGTCTTGATTCTTCTGCTGTGAATTCTGGCAATCTTCTTCTAACTAAATAACGCATGCTCTCTGGGTATTTTCCTGATGTCAATGGCTGCATGTACCTATAATCAAATTCCAAACACGTTTTAAAAGCATAGTAGATGAATAAGACAGAAAAATCCAGAAGAGAATAGAAATTCATTGAACACTTACCATCCAAACAAGAAATCAAGTGCTCGTTCAGCAGCTTTTTTATCTGCTTCGGTATTTGAATATGGCTCAAACCAACGAGAAATAAGTGTTATTCCTATCTCTCCGTTTTGATCATCCTGGTTAAAGTGTTTCGAACATTATCTTAGAAAAATAATAGTACCAAATGTATGAATCCTCGTACCAATTAATGTCGAAATTTTTAATGAAATATATTAAGATTTAAAAGTTCTGATAAGGACTAATTAAAAGAACCTTGTACTTTTTCTTGTACAGATCTACAGCAGCTGCATGAGCAAGCAGTAGATGATGTGTAACAATATAAGGTTCTGTTCCTGAATCACCTCCGAGACAAGTTGAATCTACCGTTTCAGAGCATCGACCTGGTGCAAACATCCCAACTGAATAACCTTCCCTACTGTAAGCCCATGGCTCATTTAGAGTGATCCAACGTTTCACTCTGTTTCCAAAGTATTTGAAACAAATGTTTGCGTAGTTTCGAAAATCATCTCTGAAAATAAAAAATAGAATAAA